GTTAACCTATTTCGGATTATCCAGAAGGTATTTAGCTTTTTTTGTCGGATCCACTATTCAATGGGATATTATGAAAAAAAGTGTACAGAAACCAACTTAAAAGGAAGCAGCCAGGCGAGATGGTCGGCAAACTATGCGGCTGTGAAAGCCCTTCTAAAGAATTTACTGATGTAGTAAAATCTTTGAAAGAAGTTAAAGATCTTTCTCTTCAAGTATCATCCGAGTACGAAGAATTGACGAGTAATCTTCAGCTATCATCAAAGTACGAAGCAGAACATCTGCTAAATGCTGTAAAAAAATTTGAATTTCTTATCAACCTGACAATTTGAGCTAATATTCTTCGAGAAATCAATCAAATAAATAATGAAATTCAAAAGGAAAATATTCTTGCGCATTCCGCTGGCATTAATGGAAGGTCTGACCAAAACTTTGCAAAAGATGAGAGAAATTCTTATGGAATATTGGACAGAGTCTTAAAAAGTAGCATAAAAATTGAACCTATTCTGACAAATGAATTCTAAAGCTCAAAAAGCAGTTTGATGAATTGTGCGAGGATGAATCACGAATACTTCATCCTGTTCAGCTATTTTCTAATGCAATAAAAACTGTATTTAATAGAATCTCATCAGAAATTAAAACGAGGGTAAACAGCGCTACTACACTAAATTCCAGTTTCGCATTTCTCAATGGTCGTGAAATATTGAATATGTTAGTTGAAAAACTGCGAAAGAATGGAGCAGATCTTGCACGAAAATATGAGCGAGATCTAAACGCATTTGAGGTTCTGCCAGGAAACGGCCGTTTGTAAAGAACAAGCCCCCAATGTTATTCGGCGACATAAAAAAGGCTAGCGCTTGCTATCTCTCGCAACAGATCTACAGCTAGGATTTTTAAGATGCCTTTCACAATATTTGTATTGAGCTGCGGATTTATTCTAGGCTTCCAACTGCATCCGCAAGCTATTAGCAAATTAAAACTCATTAAAAAAACTATCTGGCATAATCGATGAGCCAGGAGCGTTTATCAAGCCTCGCAGTTCTATCATTCGAGAGTCAAACACATTATGACAATTAATTATGACGATGCCATAGACTTATTTGCAGAACAAAAGGCTCGCAGAGTAAAAATTTAATCCCGTAATATTTTAAGAGCGTTAGGTAAAATCTTAAAATTATTAATGAAATAAGAATTATGAAAAAAGTGCGAATACTAACCTTTCCCTTTCAGCAGTAGTCGTATTTTTGTTATGTACAGCTAATGAGATGTTACGCTAATGAAAGTCACGTCATTAAACAACTCGTCTATTGTTCCAACTTTTGTAATCTATTGCTTGTAACTAAAGTACTTTTATTAGGAGTGCATATTTGATTGAACATTAGGACTTATTTAAGTATGTTATTGAGAAAAAAAGGAATTTATTGCATTAGTAATTTCTAACTTGATATATGAAGCTATTATTAGTAATGTGTCATTTCTATTTTTTCGTACTGTGTTGAACTGCTTTAGTATTTAGTGCTGAATCATTTTTCGTTAGTATGGCTAGATTATTGCAAATATTGCAAAACTGCGTATTTCAGAGAAAATGGAGAGGCAATTGCATTAAGGAGGTTCGCATGAGTATTTAATCACGTAACTTTTGGTATGCACTCGTATGTCGGGCCACCAGCGGCTGATCGGTAAAGTCTAAACTCTGGTTAGTTCGGTCGGGGGTTAAGATTGGATTGGATTGGATTGGATTATTGTAATTTGGCACAAAACCTGTCAAGGTTATCTGCGCCAGACAAATGGTAACAATGAAATTAGTCATTTGTAGAAACTTCCAGCTTACGGGGGTTAAGAATCCCGGCAAATGAGTTGGCTGCATGGTCGTTTCGCTCATGCGTAACTTGCATACGAGCCAATTACTCTTAGAAAGTCCTTAGCGAAGGCATCTCTCCTCTTATGCTTTGCCATAAGTTAAGAAACTAAACCATTTGTTATGTACATTTCTTTTATAACGAAAATGCCACACAGAATTTACCATAAAATGGATTTTACATTTTATCTCAACCTTACCTATTCCTGTGTTTATTTAAAAAATTATAATTTGTTAGAGAAATTTAAAGGAAGATGGGTGAGGGCGGCAGTTAAATTTTTGCTCCACCTAGAAAAAAGGCTAAATCCGGTGCTTTAAAAAAAGAAAAAATCCATCCATTAAAGCCCACAGTCACAATCCGCAAGTGGCATTCTCCTGTTGGTGGACAGATACACTTGCTCCTTTTTATACAGTGGCTTTTTAAAAACAAAACTTCTCGTCCTATGGAGATGCCTTACATAATATTTTATGATATAAACAATATTTATTGCAAAAACGATTCCCGATAAATGAAGAGTTAAGTTGTTGGGGGATACATCAAGAACCATCACATGGCCTACATTTCACATACAGTATCAAAATAGGGCGTTCATAAGACTCTGAATGTTTAAATATAGACTATGAGCTAGTATTAGTCACGTGCAGCGGTAACGTTTAAGGTACGCCAATGTCCAGCCATTTTTAAATGATAGATATGTAAAGTATAGAACATGATCGCAATTTGCAAAACTTTTGGACTACTATATGCATTACTTACTTGGGAACTGGTATGGTGGGGTGTGGTGTGGTGTATTGTATTTAATTACGGCAAAGCACACTAGGGCTATCTGCCTAAGGGGATGGATGCCTTCGTGGAGGACTTTCTAAGGGAAACTGGCTCGTATACACGTTACACATGGGGAAAACCACGAAAACACCCATGCAGCCAGCCCGTTCGCGGGATTCGAACCTCGGACCGAACTACCAGTGTTCAGCGACTTTACCGCTCTGCCGCTGGTGGGCCTACTTGGGAACTGATTTGTTTAAGAACTACAGTTTCAGGTAAACATTTTCTAGTAGAAAATATCCTTTTAAACTCTGCGCATTGATAAAAATTGTAGATAGAACATTAGCTCCTAGCTAATCAGCGTTTCAGCAATTTGAATTAGTTTGGATTATTTGTGGGAGAGCACGTTAGGACTATTTGCTTAAAGGATGGAATGCTTTCAAGAAGACTTTAAAGGGAAATTGGCTAGTATTCACGTTACACCTGAGAAAAAACAATTATCAGTATTCAGAAATCACTTGCAAGCCCCGATAAGTTGAAAGATATGCGAATAGTACAATGTTGGTTTTCTCATTAAATCGAGCATGGCAGAGGGCTATCAGCTTAAAGGAAGAAATACTTTCAGGGAGAGTATTCAAATGGAAAATGGCTCACATTCATGTGGGATATACGAAGCATTTTCCCGTTAGAACACACAAAGGAGGGAAAAAAAACACGCGGTTAATACGGAAAGAAGTTCTGTATTCAGAGCAAGATGTCAGAGGTTAACATAGTAAAAAATATGGAACTAGAGCCTAATAGCATACTACATATTCATCGGAAAAAGGGAACTGTAAATGAGATTATATTTTAATTCTAACAACATACATATTTACGATTTGTAAATGTACATTTACCATTTTAGAATATTATAATCAGTTATTCATATGGTTTAAAAGGTATATATTGCATACTAAATTTATATTGGATTGGTTTATTAAGGCAGCTTAATAGAGGCCATATACCTAAGGGAAAAGATGCTTTCATACAGAAATTACTCAGGAAAGCTTCACTTCCATTGGTGTTAATTACGAGAAAATTGTAACAACCTGCAGCAGACTCGTTTAACCGTCAAGACAAAATAATAAACAGTCAAAACTTGATACTTTGTTGGTTATTCTGGCATGCAGCGGGAGATTCACTACTCCTGCTCTAGCCAAAACTACCAGCATTTTCCAACTTTAATCACTCACCTTTTGGTTGGCGACTAAGCATGAAAGAATACATTTGAATAATTTTATTGTAAAACTCAAAGCTGCCACAAGTAACAAAAATTATAAAAATAAATTGAAGAGTTAAATAATAGCTACTCTTCTTAAAATTTGTTGAAGTTTTAATTTCTCAAATTTTAAAGAAAATGCAAAACTCTGAAGTTTTACTTTAAATACAATGTGAAAAAATTAAACTTGGTTTATCTGACTATGGCACATAACACTACAATTGCCAGAGGGAAGAGACGCCCTCCATGGAGAATATTTTAAAGGTCAGAGAAGATTTCCCCCCCCCTCCAAATTTTAGAGGATTCTTATCTTTGTTGCTTGAAATAAATGTAGTTTTCTGCAATATTTCATGGATAAAATTAAATATTTTGTCGAGATTAACGCATATTCCTGACACTTAAAATCATTGGTATACTTATAAAACAACCGAAATGCATGTATTTTAGTTCATTATGGTAAAGCACTCAGGATCTTTCTGTAAGGGAAGACATGCCTTGTGGAACACGTCTTGAGAGCAACTCTCGTGTCCAACAATGAAAAGTAAAAAATAATTTTGAATTCCGTAAATTTTGTTTTAAATTATGTTAGTCATTCAGTTTTCATAAGGTTACCTGTGTTCTAAAAAGCCCGTATAAGTTGGAACAATGTCGAACACTGGTGCAAGGAGTTATAACGGTGAAAATTTTAATAACTAGTGGTGCTTGGGAATCGCTTATGATCTGAATTTGCGTAACCGTAAATTGTTGGGGCAATAAAAAGTAATTTATTAAGTGTAGATTCTAGATAAATACCAGTAAATATTATTGAAATGCTCCACTGTGAAATTGTTTCAAATATTACAAAATAAACCTAACGTCTGGTTTGGAAAATACAGCAAATTATTACAGAGATTAATTTAAAAATTTATTTAGAGGTCAGCTCAAAACTCAAGATTCATTGCGTGTCTTACCTAGGAACCATTAGTTACATAGAAATCTTTATAATCAGAAGTATCGATCTCATTTGATCTCAAGAAGGCAATTAAAACATGAAATTCTCTTTAAACTGCACAATAAAAGATCTGAAATTATTCAGTGAATTCTGTGAATGAGTTTCATAAAAAATCGATTGACGCCGGAAGTTGAGCAACCATTTAATTTCAACAAAGTTACAGCATTTTAAAAATGTAATTTATAACAAGTTAAAATATGGAAAAAATCTAAAAACGATTTGTCAATTGATTAATAAAAATGGTATCAAAAAGTTAAAATAATAAGCAGCGAAGGCTTTGTAAATAGTGAAGACACGTACTGAAAATAACTTTAGTCCAAGCGGTTCATACACAGATTAATTTCACCTTGGCTTTCATTTCTTGTTCTTCGAGGAGGACGACGAATGAATAGAATGCAACCAAATGTTAGACAAACTAACATAATGCAGAGCAGACAAATTAGTAAAGTATACCACCATGGAATTGTACAATTCGGGGTAAATTCTTTGCTAACACGAATAATTTGTGAAATGGTTTCTTGTGGCATAGCTGAGAGTTTCGCTGTTACTTCGAAAGTAACTGTCTCGTAGATATCTTCGAATTTATTATTAGACAACGTTTTCTGGGTTGTTCTGGAAGGCCCAAACAGTGGCAGAGAATTTGAAATTTCTGGCCCATCCCTCTTCTCTGTCCAGGGAGACGCGAATGGCAAGTTTAAAATTTCTAGCTTGCCTGAAGAAATATTCGTATCATTTAAATCTGTGATAACGTTTAATACCGGTGAAGGCAAGACTGCAAGAGATCGCGTATATGACCCGTTCCTTGGAAAAAATTTTTCTGGTGAATTAATTTGACGCCCTTCTTGTAAAGACGGCAGTTCCATTATCTCTTTTGTTTCGGGCACAACTGTAAAGTTCTTAATTATAACTTTCTCTTTCAAAAAGTTCCGCAAACTTCCTTCAAAATCAGTGTCATTTTTCTGCTTGTCGACAAACCGTACGGCTGTTAAATTTTTAACATTAGGTACCATGCGATGGTTTCTTCTCCGATTTCGGTTGGGAAAAACAGAACTGTGAGCTTCATCAATATTTTTTACTTTACTGTGTTTAACTGTATTATGTTTTATGAAAGTGTAATTACAGAAGTCTGGGCAGACATTCTTGCAAAGTACTACATCGCAAGTTAAATACAATGCGTTTTTTAGCGGCACAGCGAAATTTATTAATGCGTAAGCCAAGATGTCGGGCATTTTATGCTTTATAATACTGAAAGTCAAAATATCGTACGAACGGGGGCAACCTACTGGATCAGACAATCTATGCACAGTCGCTGTATTGATTTCTACATCATTAGTGTAACAATTGTGTATTCTCATATCTTTACTTTGACCTTCGTCTTTCATATGGAATATGAGGAATAATTCATTACTGGAATTTAGCTGTGGCAAGTCCATATCTACTTCGCTTGCAGATTTCAAATCAAACCACAGGTTCAAATCTGTAACTCTATAGCTATTCCAGTTACTTCCTCTCTTCTCCGTCCAAGAGTTATCTTCTATAGGAGGAATTTCACACAAAATCTGATTTTTAATAGCATACGAGGAGTTGAAATACTCAACAGTAATCGTATTATTTACATAGTACGGTCCAGTTCCTATCACTTGTGAACCGCAGGCTGATAACGGCAAGTCCAGCGATACTGTTAATGCAGGTGATTTCTCAGGAATAATCTCACTAAAAATTAAAAAATAAAAATTTCCATTTTTTAAAAAATATGCATAGGAGCAAACACTGCTCAAATTAAATTACATGAACTGATATTTTGAAACGTTTGGAGGGGGGATAGAAGCGTGCTAAGCTCTGTTTCATCATATTTGATATTGTAGAATTTTGTGAAAATTGGTGGCTTAATGCAATAAAAGTACACGCTATTTTAATACATGTTCATGATACAAGTTAATATGAAGACATATTAATGTCTTAATATTATACAATTAAAACTGACAAAATAAATTGCCGAAATTTTAAAATATAGTTTCCATTACAAGATAATATGCACTAAACTGTTTTCTTTAAAAACTGTTTAAACTAATAGGCCAACATTACTTGTATGATCAACATATTTAACGGTGGTCAGTATCTAATAATAGTGCTCCTAGTTTTAAAGTTAAGAAATGACAATTAAATTTTTAAACTGTTTCATTCCATTTAAATCGTTGTTTTTTTGAAATAACAAGCCCAAGAAATATTTATATTTAGAAAACGTTTACCACTCGATTTGTTTTTTCGGTTTTGTTCTAATTATGGCAAAGCACCTTAGGGCTATCTGCCTAAGGGGAAGGATGCCTTCATGAACTACTTTCTAAGGGAAACTTTCTCGTATACAATGTTCACCAGTCGAAATGTGCCGATAACGAACGCATGTTTTCTAGCAAGAAGTCTTTACCTATATCTTTTCCAGAAAATATGTTTAGTTTTTTTTTTTTTTTTTTTTTTTTTTTTTAAACAGAAAAGCTTCTACATTTCAAATAGTGTCTTTCAGTCTACATAATGAAATATCATTTCATGAAAAGTTTCAAGACATATTTTATTCCAGAATTTACAGCACATCAACAATTTTCATGGCATCCTTAAATTAAAGGGATTTTTCTCCTAAATGCAGAAAAATAAAGATTTGAAAATGACTACAAGAAATTAAAATTATATAAAAGTAAGAACCGGGAAAAAATCTCAATATTTTTATAGCTTAAAATTTGTTTTAAGATTTGGTTACCGTTACAGAACAATTTATTGGAAATCACTCGTAAAGAATTGTACTTGATAGTTCCTGCAAGAAAGTGCCCTTTCGTCATGAATAAATGAAAGATGCAGGAATAAATGAAAAAAGTTTAAACAGATTTTAAACAATAGTGTTGTTTATTTGATGATTTAAATGTGCTGCACATATTTCGTTTTGAAAAGATGTTTACCAATGAAACATTTTATACGAGCATTGTTTTAAATTTTTATGCTGAAAAAAACTAAAGAGACATTTATGTTTGAAGAAATTAAAGCTTTTTGTCCTGTAACATGAAAGATCCCGATTTTGAAATTTGATTCGGAATCAAACACCAATTCAAAGTTTCAGTTAATTTCAAAATGCACACTTTTCGGACAAATATACTCACTTCACATTTGTAATAAATAACTATTTAACATTCACTTAACTAATATTTCATTAGTCACACAGAATAAGTATTTGAACTTTTCACAAATTTTTCAAATACCGTTAATAGAAAAATCTAACTTTTACTATATTTGTGCATTTCTCAATATTGCTCCGAGTTATCGAGTAGGTAAGATTATTCGTTGTTTTTGTCAGATATTCCATAGAGCGAGGGGACCGTTGACAGAACTTCATGATTTTCTCAAGGTGTCACAAATGAGGGTATAACTCCTGCGTAATCCGCGATTAGTCTTTCATGGTATAATACGATATATACGTGAAGACTCACGATTCTATTCGAATATTGATGTGGCGACACTAATTTAATATAGTATAACACATTTATCACCTGTTTGTGCAGGTGTAGAGTTCAAGAGCATGCGAATTGTTGACTCACTTTGTAAAATATTGATTTTGGTGAGGGAAAAGTATTATCACCAGTACTTTTCATTGCATAATCAGTTTGTAGTAGCCTAGGAATTTGATCATTTATTGGTTGACTAATTAACACAAAGCTTGGTAAGGTAATCTACCTAAAGGCGGAGGTTCCTTCATGAAAAACTCAAATTTAATTTTATTCACGTTGCGTGTAAAAGAACATAAAAAACCCACGCGTTTAATTTGATTAGTTGGATTACGGCAAAACACGCGAGGTTATCTGCCTAGCAGGAAGAATGCTTTCATGGAGAACTTAGTCGAAACTGGATCATACTAAGTGTTGTAGCTGGTAAAAGCATGTATATGCGTATTAACACAACCACCTCGTAGCTGTTTGGAGAATTTTATAGGAGAAAAAGAATGACTTATAAATGTGAAAAATCTTTTGTTGCATTAAACTTTACGTTTTAATCAAGTATTTAAATACTTATGTATCATCCCGTCCACTTTGAAAGCTGGCTACCATCAAACCATGAAAGCTGGTGGAGATCCGACCAAAGTTGTGCCAATCGCATCTGCGAAATTCTGAAAGAAATGACTGCTTTATTTAATAAACTATCTGTATTCAACCCGCTTCGGTTTTGCGCTTTGCAAAAAGGCTTTCATAGATTTCTGCCGTTTCTTACCGCCTTCGATTTTATCAGCTCTGTTTAAAATGCTATGAGTACAAATTTCCCGCCGATAATTATTTCAGTCTATTACTGTTTTGTTGGCTATATTTAGCTAACTTTATCGTGTCCATTAATACACCATCAGGATCCCATAACTTTGAAAATAGTCTGCTGCTTGGAGTTACCAAAGTTTCTTTCAAAATGCATGAAAAAATACAGCAATAACAGTTAAACCTTTGTTCATAAAAGAAACATGGCTTTTCGTGAATCAATTGGGATTATATCACCCCGAAAGCGCTGATGTTAGTTGTTACATCACGTTTGTCCATAGCTAGAGCTAAATTACACTGCTTGGCGACCGTTTTACTACTCGAGGGGAATACCTAAGTATCAGTATTCATCCCCAAAAGCAATCAATAAATTTACACAGGTTTCTGCTTCATTTGCTCTGATGGAAATTCACGACAATTGCTTTGAAAGAACATTCAAAACCAATCGTCCTGTTTAGCGATTTTGAGGCAAAATAATGCATTTATTCCGAAATATATTTGCAGTTTCTCACTTTAGGCAAATATAACAGGCATTTAAAATCGAGTTTAAGGCACAAGTTATCACGATTTGTCTGTAAAAGGCATTGGGCTTTGGAATAAAACACCAACGAAAAATGACGGCGTTTGTTAAAACTGTATAGTGTTAATTAGTAGCCTAAAATAGTAAAGCTAGTCCTAAAATTTTGGTAACAGTTACCGAAATGGTTGCAATAATACGTAATTACCAGAAACATCCATGCGGTAGTTCGTTGACAGGTATTCGAACCCAGGTCACACTCAATACATTTGCTAAGAACTTTTACTATTCAGTGGTTTTTATCCATTCGGTCTGTAATAACATAGCGGCTTAGCTATCTCCATTCGACAATAACCTATTTTGAAGTATATATTTTTACTCGTTTTAAAAGTATTCATCAATCAACAGCAAAATTTTAAGCAATTATTTATGAATAACATACCTGCAAAGTTTATCTTTTGAGTACATCATTCCGCTGAAGGGATAGTAAAAGCTAGCTTTTATATGTAAACCAAAAATATCACATGCTTCACTGAAACGTGGAATGTAAAATTCATTCCCTCGAGCCAAGGAAGCAAACAAGCACTGAAAATAAATTTTATCACTTAGGTTTTTTTTATACTGCAAAAAATCAATTACAAAAATTGCATTATTCATTTAGTTAGTGAATAGATGACTCAACATTATTATTCATAAAATGTTCAATATTTAACAGGTGCCCAGAATCAATGTTAATTAGTGATTCAATCAAATTACATAACACTTTGAAATGTTTTATCAGATAGCAGGCTATTAAAATACCGTCTATCTTAACTAAATTTGTAGCAAGGCTTTCTGTGCGACATCAGAATTCAACGGTCTCAATTATTGGAGCACTCGTATTGTAAAAGCGAATAATTTAATTGCAGTCAAGTACTCAAGGATTATTTTTATAAGATCTTAGGTAAACACCTCTCCGCAAAGATACTACAAGTAAAAACATTCGTGCGTTATCGTATATGCGTATACAGAGGTTTCAATCAGAGGTTAAAAGTTGACCTCAGCTTCCACCAAGTCGAATGCGTCGCGGTAGAGTTTCAAGAAAAGTCCAAGTTGATTTATAAAAAAAATAAGACAGCAGAGAAGAATATTTTCTTTTATAACTTTACGATAACGAATAAAAGGAAAATATGATTAAATTTTTGACAAAGTTCATAAATCTGTATTTTAAAGTCCGGGCCAAATTATTTATTTATTTATTTTATTTTTTCGTATTAACCATACTAGGTGTGATGATCAGTACACACGTTAAGGATATTTTTGAGAGCTTAAAATCTCAATTTAACGCTAATTTAAATAATGCACTTCACAGTTTTGGCTCTGTCCATTGTTTTAAATTATTCAAATTCTAGTAACACAATCCCATCAGCAGGCGAGCAGATAAAGCCGCTGAATATTAGTAATTCGACCTAAATTTAAATCCTGAGGGAAAAGCTGACTGCATGAGAGTATTCATAGTTTCCAACTCGCATATAACATGAATACGAGCCAGTTTCTGTCAAAAAGTCCTCCCACGAAGGCATTACTCCTTATACAGTTTAGCCTAATACTTCGCCACAATCAAATTATCCAACCTTTATAACAAGGAAGATAATTAACCTCTAAATTGTTTTTAAGCTCCTTTCTAATATTAAATACTTAACCGATATATTCATAAGCTAATTAAAATTTTAAAGCTACACAAGACTTGTGAAACCACGCTATCAGAAAAAACGCCTGAGCAGAAAAGTATTTGATACAGAATTGAATCCAAAATATATGTTTCTAAGATATCTGTTGTAAAGTAAGGTTAGTTTATTTGTGTACGGTTCTTTAAATATAAGTATGGCAAAGTAAGCAAGGACTTCCTGACTAAAAGAAAGGATGCTTTTCTAGAGGATTTTTTAAGGAAAACTGGCTTGTATTCACATTATACATGAAGATAACCACAAGAACGACCATGCAGCCGGGTCATTTCCCTAGAGTCGAATCTATGTCGAACTACCAGTGTTTAACGATTTTTACAGCTCAGCCACTGGCAGACCATATTTGAATATAGCAAAGCAAACGAGGGCTATCTGCCTAAAATGAGACTAAGACTTTCTATGGAAAGCCCGCACGTATTCAAAATATATGCAGAGAGGGCAAAAACACGGAAACTAACTATGCAGTCAGCCCGGCTTCGAATCCGAGTCAAACTACTAGTACTTAGCTTTCTTAATTACTGAACCACTGGTGGAGCAGTTTTGAAATAAGATAATGAAATATTATTTACTACTAAATTTATGGAAGTATTATTTTATGGAAGTTTTATGATACAGGAAATACTTTCATTTTTACCGAATTCAAAAAGTACTTTTTAACTTGAATAAATACGGCAACCCACTCCAAGAACGACAAAACAGGGATCCTAGATCCTGGAGTAGTGAAGATACGTTCAGACTTGGATAAAATTTATTTCAAATGTGTCGATTCCTTTAAACACTGAATCTAAATTCTTACTATTTGCTATAAAACGTTATTTATAACAAAATGAAATGCAGATACTGAAGACAGCATTTCCGAAAGATTGTTGTTTTTCAAAGAGGTTTTCCGAAGGGTACTTGCGGAAAAACCCGTCGACCATTTTTGGCCTATTAAAGAAAAGACGCTAAACTACGCGATTTTTCGCCAAAAATGGAAAAAGTGTTCTTCAAACACGCTGGATTACCCGTGTTAGTTATTATTCTTGAGTAAAAACTCTTTTTTCCCCTCTATCACTCATTTTTGATAAAAAAGAAATGATTAAAATTTGGACCTGCCTACTACGGAAGAGTTATATTGAAACTTTAGAAATGTTGAATATTTCTAAAGTTATGGAATCTTACCGGCGATTAAATTAAAACCTAGCGAAAACAATTTCTTTTACAGTATATCTATTTAATAAAAAATAATGGAAATTTTTAATGAAAAATTAAACATAAATAAATGATTATATAATTGGTACTTTTCCGTTTCGCCGGCGCAAATCTCGCCAAGTAGACTTAACTGGCGACAACACACGGTATACACATAAAAAATTTTAACAAATGTTAGTTAGGAATGTTTATTTTGAAGGTATGAACATTTTAATATCGCTTAAAATGGTACTTTTCCGTTTTCGCCGGCGCAAATCTCGCCAAGGAGACTTTATTGGCGACAACATACAATATACATATAAAAACTGTTTAACAAATGTTAGTTCTAAGAAATTTTTATTTTGAAGGTTTGGAGGCATAAATATTTTAATATCACTTAAAATTTTGTAAAAAGACAAAAAATTTGTAAAAAGACATTAAGAATTTACTATGCTTTCATGGTACAGCACCCTGATTCGTAGTTTCTTATCACGTGACCCCGAGTGATCTCATCTCCCGTAAACTACGCTACAAAAATCTAATTCTCTTAGTAATTATATACATTTATTTCAAGTTAAATCTTAATTTGGACTACAAGTTTAAATGCAAGAATTATTTCAATTCGTACTAATAGCTTACTGCAAAATTATGTAAAATCGCAGCGCTTTTACTTCGCTAGTGCATTCTCATTAGAATGGATGAATTTAACCCTTAACTTTGCCTTTTCTATATTTTCGCCTTCGGGTGATTGCATCATAATTGACGTAATTACCGCGAATGGCGTTAGGGTATAAAATTGAACTATCTAGATAAAATTATATGTAATTGTATACCAGTATTGAAAGAAACAATTTTGGCGACTTTATCGTTTGCGCCGGCAAAATGGAAAAGTACCCTTAAAATTTTGTAAAAAGAGAATAAATTTGTAAAAAGACATTAATTTAAGAATTTACCATGTTTTCATGGTACAACACCGTGATTCGCAGTTTCTTATCACGTGACCCCAAGTGATCTCATTTCACGTAAACTACGCTACAAAAATCTAATTCTCTCAGTAATTATCTACATTAATTTCAAGTTAAATCTTAATTTGGACTACAAGTTTAAATGCAAGAATTATTTCAATTCGTACGAATAGCTAACTCCGAATTATGTAAAACCGCAGTGCTTTGCTAGTGCATTCTCATTAGAATTGATGAATTTAACCCTTGACTGCCTTTTCTATATTTTCGTCTTCGGGCGAGTGATGTGATTGCATCCTAATTGACTTAATTACCGCGAATGGCCTTAGGGTATGAAATTGAACTATCTGGGTAAAAATTCTATGTAATTGTATACCAGTATTGAAAGAAATAATCAAACGGATAAGAAATGGCTGCGACTTGTTTTGAAAAGGATGCGTGAAAGATTACCAGCGAGGATATTTCGTTTGGTATCGGTTGTACCATTTTTGGCGACTTTATGCTTGCACCGGCAAAACGGAAAAGTACCAATAAATTTGAAAGAAAATAATAGAACGTTTTTTCTTGCATTTAGTAATTTTTTTTTTGGGGGGGGGGTTTGGCGCGATTGGCGCAGTCTCTTGTGGTCGACGGGATCTCCCGTAGGTACCTCCCTAAGCATTTAACAAGCCATGATGCTTTTCTGTTTGCTAAATATTTCGCATTAAGCGTCTGGAAGTAATAGCTGAGCAAGTATAAATTCTGTTTTCACCAAGTCTTAAAATACATACTATTAGAACTCTAACGTGAATATATTCTGCGACGTTACTTTCTACCGCAAGATATTTGTTCAAAAATTCTATATTCACTCACAGGGTAGTAAGAGTAAAGTAGTATTTTGAAATCGTTAATAAATGGGAAGAAATTTCGATACCATAATACAAGCTTGGCCAAACTGCGGCTAGCGTTATAGCAAATGACAGTTTTGTCTTTGAAATATGATTTCGACTTGAAGGAGAAATTGTGTTATTTTATGTTTTTTAACAAGCAATAATTTTCATTTTTAATTACATATGATAGGAGGCTAATTTAAAGAATTCCAAACTGTGAACATTTCCGCGAGTTACTGTCGCAGAGATATTACTTTGTATAGACTCATAGACAACAAAAAAGCCATAGCTCCACACATTCCAAGATATACACTCAGCACGAAAAAAAAAAAAAGAAAAAAAAAGGAAGAAAAAGGATGGTTCTATTATCTCCTGTTTTAGTGGGCCGACTGATTTGAGCTTTTCTATGTTTCAAAAGCGCGACTTAAACTAGGCATTAGATTTATGAACAGTACTGTTCTAGCACAGGTATTTTGACACAAAAATGAGGCTTTTTTTTTTCAATATTTCGATTCCACGACTAAGATTATGCCTAAATTTTAAGTTTTATAACATTTGGCGGGAAGTTTAAAAGTTTTTCTCATCGCACTTTTTTCAACCTGCGCCAAGAATAATTCACTTAACGAAATTCCTAATATAACCTATTTACATTTCTCTTTTGTTGTACACTAGCGGGGGGGGAGGTGCATCGTTCCTTATTTCAAATAAATTTTTAACCCAGTGCATAAACCACATTTGTCACTATTATTGCTTATAACAAACATGGCAATTTTCAAAATGCGCCAATACGTAAATTCACTTCGCAAATTTTGAATAAAAAGCTCTAATTTTTTGCAGATATGCTTAGAAATACATGCACCAAGATTAAACATTTTACAGAGTATAATTCAAAAATGGATTTCGAGAAACTTATAAAAATTGCTAAGAAATACAAATTAAAAAAATGAATTAGAAAATAGCAGCGAATTTGTATTGAACCTAAATTTCGAACTTTGAAATCAAGAAATCAAAAGAATTGGTAAAAGTATAGTTTAAGGTACCCCTTGGCGAAACTTGACGATTTTGGCGGTACATAGATACCGATTTCGTGCAATTCTTTAACTCGTTATTTTGGCTTGCAAAACCAAAATAACAAGACAAACAATTGCACAAACTCGGTATCCATGTACACATCGACTTCTTTTCACTTAACCCCCCCCCCGAATTGCACAAAAAATGGCATTGCGCACTCCTTTGACTTTATCCATGTACACGTCGACCTATTTTCACTTAGAAAAAATCCCCGAATTGCCCAAAAATGGCATTGCGCACTCCCTTTACTTTGTCCATGTACACATGGATATATTTTCACTTAGGTCAAAGGAGTACCAAATTCTACAATATAGGCAAACAAAAAATACATAATCTCAATAAAATACATTTTAAGCCAAACAATAAAATAACAAAAAAAGCAAAACATGTTATACACTTAAGCACTACCAAAATCAAATATTCACTTACCATGATTTTCGAGTTCCCTTCGTACACCCAGAGCCACGTGAAAATCAAAATATCATACTCAAATGACTTTTTTCAAACCAGGTACTCTTTCTGATCGAACGCTTCACATAGTGACCATCTGAACCTTTATTCCTACAAACCCATTCAAATCCATCTAAACGGTTTTAACACACACCACAAAAACGCTTTCAAAACATCCCATGATTCAAAATTTCCCAGAATCATGCAGCCGATTACGTCACAGTAGGGTTTCCATAACATTCAACTACTCAGGCTACCATAAATGAAACAACTTGGCGATAAATCAAACAACAACCTTGCCATAATACAAGGGGTACCTTAAAGTCTACTCTACCCAAAAAATCAAGTAAGTATAATAAAAAGGATATTAAATATATACCAAATTCAATTCACACTTAAGAGCTAAAATTCTGAGAGCCAATTTTTAAAAACTACTCGTTCGATTTTTACAAAACTTGGCACTTTGGTATAATTCGAGTTATAGAATCGAAATATAGAAAAAATAAATATGCCATTTCAAAGAAAGTCCGATTTTGTGTCAGAAAACCTATGTTTGAACAAAGCTATATATAAATCTAATATAATTCTAAGTTGCGCTTTGGAGACATGAAAAACGCGAATTAAACTTCATTAATAGGCCCAGTAAAACAAGATATATAGAACTGTCATCTTTTTTTCGTGCCACATATCTAAATGTATGTCATTATAAATGTTTAGCTGCGACTTCCAATGGAAGAAAAACTAAATCTGACTTTTCAATTAAATTGTAATTTGGTACTTTTCCCGTTTTGCCGGCGCAGGCGATATAGTCGCCAATAATGGTACAACTGATACCAAACGGAATATCCTCGCTGGTAACCTTTTACGTCCTCATTTTCAAAACAAGTTGATGACTGATTCAAAACAAGTTGATGATGATCAAGACTTATCAGACTGTTTCTTTCAATACTGCAATACAATTACAGAGACGTTTTACTTGATAGTTCAATTTCATACCCTAAGACCAATTCGCGGTAATTAAGTCAATTAGGATGCAACCACACCGCTCACCAGAAGGCGAAAAATATAGAAAAGGCAAAGTCAAGGGCTAAAATTCATTGAATTCTAACGAGAATGCACTAGCGAAGTAAAACACTGCGGTTTTACATAATTTCTGAGTAAGCTATTCGTACGAATTGAAATAATTCTTGTATTTAAACTTAACTTGAAATTAATGTAGATAATTATGAGAGAATTATATTTTTGTAGCGTAGTTTACGTGAGATGACATCACTAGGGGTCACGTGATATGAACCGGCGAATCAGGATTTTGAACCATGAAAGCATAGTAAATTAAATTAATGTCTTTTTACAAATTTATTGTCTTTATTTATTGGCTTTTTGCAAACTTTTAAACGATATTAAAATGTTTATGATTTCAAAATAAATTCTTAGAACTAACATTTGTTAGCATTTTTTATGTGTATACTGTATGTTGTCGCCAATAAAGTCTGTTTGGCGAGATTTGCGCCGGCGAAACTGAAAAGTACCTGTAATTTTTAAATTAAATTGTTTAGAGATAATTTATTTCCGAATGTTAATCCTCACCTTAATTAAATGTAAAAAATAAACTATTATTCTTTTACACAAATAACTTGCTAAGTTGATAGCTTATTTTAAACACTTTTCCTACATATTCTTGCAGTTTCCCAGCGGAACGCCCTGTTTCATTACACTTGCTGTAGTGGTAAGAGTCAGAAATAAAGTCCAGTTCTGTTTTTCAAATTTCTGCAGTATTCTATACGCAAATGAAATACATTTTCCTATTTGTAAAAACCTCTTTGTCACCTTTCTTTTCAGATCATTCCTAATAAAATCAGTTGACAATCAAACAGGAAAAAATACTCGAAATTTTAATCATACGCTTGGTTTTCAACCTAAAAAAGAATATTCAGTACATCCTACAAAATCTAAAATTACGTATTTAGTGAAAGGAGATCACTGCCACGCACTTAAAGGTATCAGACAGGGAATTGATGACTTCGTAGAGGACTTACTAAAAGACATTGTCTTATATCCACGTAACACGTGGAGAAGAACACGAAGATTCCCATTTAATCATTCCATTCACCATTACTTGAAGTCTGATGGAACTACCAGTGGTCAGTGAGTTAATGATCGGCTACTGGTGATCAAATTTGTGCATTGATATAGAAAAATTTATGTGTTCACAGTAGCCTATTTGGTTAATCTTTGGATTATGGTAACTTGGCGAAAATTTGGCGACCAACCCTGCTACAGCAACCTGCTAGTTTTTGTTTGGACGCCTTTTTTTTTTTAACTCAACATTTTTTTCCAACAATCTGCTAGACGAATTACGCTTATGCTAGAACTTTTATGGAACAAAAATGCTTAATCATGACAAAGATTAGGTGCGAAATTGGGAGAAAGTGCAGAATCGCAAACTGCTTGCCGCGTTTTTAACAACTGCACATACACGGTATCCATGAACACGTCGACCTATTTTCATTTAAAAAACATCCCAGAATTGCACAGAAATGGCATTGAGCACACTCTTGACTTTATCCATGTACACTACTGCTAAAGTCCTAGCTAGTAACCTTTATCGCCTTACCAAAATGTCGCCAAATTACCTGTTACCATATTCCAAAGATTAGCCGCATAGGTTGCATATTTTTCTGAATAAGCGCAAGAGCAGCTAAAGTTATTTATGTTCGCCCTAAATACATATATTAACCATTCTTTTTACTACTCATTTTTAACTTACTCGAAACATTTCCTTCCATTCGAAATCGGTTTTACTGTTTTTAAAATGATATAAATATCTTGTCACAGTTTTTGACGAATCTACTCGCTCTTCTGTACTTCTTTTTACACTTGGCATGTTAGATTCGCCCGTTAGGGAAAAAGATGGAAACTTCATACAGACAGCTGGTTCCACCACTTGGATCAGAGGTCCTGTTTGGTTCGATTGTTTGAATACAGCAAAGCCGTGGCAGGACTTTCTGCCTAAATGGAGGACTTTGAGGGAAAATGGCTCATATTCACATTAAGCATGGTCAAAACAACGAAAACAAACCATGCAGCCTGCCTGTTCACCTGGTATCCAACTCAAACCATGTCGAACTACCAGTATTCAGAAGTCTTAACCACTCGGCCACTTGTTGGGGGGAGAATCAATGGCTCATGGCTTTAGTCAATCACGGACCGATATCACACTGGAGTTCGTTATAGTGAGACTTCTAGTCAAATATTATCGAAATAAGCTTAAAGACTTAAACATTCAAAAGCAGACTATTTCTAAACAAGTTCTGCATTTTATGGTTCAAAAGATTTACTAATTTTTTGAGAGTTTAATTTTTCTGGAATTTTAGCCGTTTTAATAATCGGAAAAAAAATTTTCAATAAGCTGGAAATTACCGCATTTTTAAGAACTGCAATGATCAGAGATTTAAATAAAATTCATTGATTTTTTTTAAATCCACGTAGAGCTTCTAGCAAAATTGTTTAAAATAAAATTATATACACTTGTATTGTTCAACTTAAGTCATTAACAAGCATTTAATACACGTGAACTCGAAAACCAATTTAAATGTTTTAATTTAATCTTGAGATCAGACTTTGGAAAACAAAACAAAATCATACATCACTTACCAAGAAACATAAGAACGCTGTCGGTTTTAAGCTGGAGTCTGGAACACTGTTATACCTGGAAATGAAAAGCGTAAATGCAGATAAAGAGTTCAATCAAAAATCTCAATAGTTACAAATAAGTAACGAATCAAAAGAAAATACATTATAAAAACACACGAGGAAAAAGGGGGGGGGGAATGCAGCATAAACATACATCATAGATGCTGAAGTACTTCCTTCTCCCAGTCACATTAAGCAAAGGAAAACTAGTATGGTTTTTCGGTGAGCTTTGTTTATAAATTCAAGTGTAGATACGCAGCAAAATCACTGACTCAGTAATGATAAATTTACGTTATTCTTGTTAGCTTTTAAAAGCCTAAAATTTCTTGAGGCAACGAAAAGGAAATCGAGAAATTTATGATTAATCTTTTTCGATTTTTTAGAATGATTAACTACTTTTTAAAATTGAGCATAACAAAATTAATTCGCATATCCAATTTAACTGCTGTACTGTCAAAAATGCAAACTCGGTCAATCGAAAATAGATCAGTTTTATGCTTTTGAAGCTAGCTTTAAATACAAGATTTCATGCAATCACTTTTCGCTCATATTTACCAATTCAAACCTGTGCCAGTTTCAGGCAAGTGATTAGCTAATTATTTAGTTTCTCATAAACTGAACTCTGCTTAGCTAGAAAATTTTTCAGAGATAAAAATGCCTCTGACGTCATGAAAGATTCCCACAGTTTATAATATTAAAACTTCTGATAAATTAATAATTTGTGTAATTATATAAAACATATTGATGTTTGGAATAATAATGACAAATGTGGTTTATGCACTTGGTTAAAAATTTATTTGAAATAAGGAACGATCCACCTTTTTTCCCTCCGCTAGTGTACAACGAAAGAGAAATGAAAATAGGTTATAGTAGGAATTTCGTTAAGTGAATTATTCTTGGAACAGAAAAAAATAATCTATTTTTGAATACTTTTGATACAGATGGGCCAAACAACCAAACTCTAGATTCAGAGGATTTTCGTTCAAAAGAATTTTTGCAGACAAAAGTAATCCTTAAACCATAAAAGTACACAGAAAGAAATTATATATTTTTTAAATAACAAGCTAACTTCAAGTAGTGTCTACCTAATAGCTGAAAACTTTTGACTGATTCTTAAATGCAAACAATATAAAAAGTTAAATATAAAAACGCATTTATTATTTGTATCTTTTAATAGAAAAATATTACTTTAATCAGAGTTTTGTATAACTGTTAAAAATAGTTTCAAATTTTGCCTACTTTTAAGATGCAAGTATCGTTATTTCTTATATATAAAAAGGAGTTTATAAGCAACCCTGCTTGTGCCAATAAAAGTTGTACACATGTTCTTGTTTACTTATATGCAAGGCATATTATAAGCATGTTTGTTGTTGCTAATGCTTACTTGCCTGACCTACATTCAGCCCAAACCCAGGAAATTCCTCACGGCAAGGAGCGCAAGTTTAAGTCTATCATTGGCAACAGCCTTGAACACCTTACAGCTGACAGTGGGATTTGGGTCTGCCAACCATCTTTCCTACCATCAACCTCTCAAGAGGACTTTCGGCTCGCCGCATATATAGAGTGCGCCCATGCCGCACGAACACTATACATTTACAAATATCCATGTCTTCTCCTGAATTCGAACCCGGGCCCTTCGTCACGGCAGTCAGTGACGCTAACCACTATACCAGTTGGGCGGCATAACCATGTCTAGGTGACAGTGGCGTAGCTATGATTCCAGCGCCCGGGGACAACTGAAGAATTTGCGCCCCTTTCTGTGTGACAAGAATGGAAAACATTTGATTAAAAAATTTCGTAGCATCAATTTGGCGCCCTCTTGATGCTGCGCCCGGGGACAGATGCCCCCCTTGCTCCACTCTAGCTACGCCACTGCTAGCTGAGGTTATCACATTATGAATAGGCTGCTGTTCTTAGATATTTATAACCATGTTTAACATCATCTGTCTTTCAACAGTGAGAAAGCCCACCAATGACTGAGCGATAAAGATAGCTGGATACTGGTATTTCCACAAGCGAAGCTAGGTTTTCAGCGCCCGGGGACAACTGAAGATTTTGCGCCCCTTTCTCTGTGCCAAGAACGGAAAAAATATCATTCTAAAATTTCGTAAAATCAATTTGGCGCCCCCTGAATGCTGCGCCCGGGGATGTCCCCCCTTGCCCCACCCTAGCTACGCCACTGGGTATTTCACACGCATGTCTGAAACCAAGCGAACGAGCTTGTTGCATAGGTATATCTTGTGCAACGGTAACCATTAGTAACCGAGTGGTAAAGTTGTTAAACAGTTTTAGTAGTTTGGGTTCAATTTCAGGGGAACATGCTAAATGCATGGACGTTTTATGGATTTCCCTATGGGTAATGTGGATACGAGTCTGTTTCCCTTAGAAATTCCTTCAAGAAGGTATCCCTTCTTTTAGACAGATAGCCCTTGTGTGCATTGGAATAATCGAATAAAATAAACCGAATCCTGTGCAACGGGAACATGACCCTGTTTTCCTTAGAAAGGTCATCTACAAAAGCTTCTTACTCTTTGTCAGGTAACCCTCGTCTGCTTTGCCATATTCAGATAATCTAACGTAACCTATCCAAAATGTGAAATTAAATAATCGAAATGGCAAATGGGTACCCATCGCAAATATATTACATTTTCTTGATGAAATAATGCATGGAACATCAAATACTATAATTTTTGAAAAATATATGAGAAATATGATTTTTTCTCAGACATAAATAAGACAAGAGGTTCGCGGATTCATTCATAAATTATTCCTCTAAGCAGATGAAACTCAAAATATTTAGTGAAGATAAAACGCAAAGAACAGCCTTGATCTTATTTTATACTTGCTAGTTAATATTAGCTATATAATACGCAAGGGATTTGGACGCTGTTTGCAGACCTACATTATGATATTTTCAACTATATCTGTTCTCGCATGCATAGCTGTAATAAATATGCCATATTATCTCATTGGGTGAAACGGTCTTGATTGGAGGTGAGAAGATTTTTAGACTCCAACAATCACTTTTTCTTTTTGTGAAATATTAAGCTAAGCTGCATACAAATCATGAGAAATATAAGAATAAGAGATGATCGGAAATAATATGCTGTGAATGAAAACTAGCAGGTTGGCTTTGATTGGATTATTAGAATATGGCAAAGCATATCAGTAAAGCTTATGGGCATAAAGATCAAAAGCGTCTGGTTTGAGTTGTAAACTGTTTGTATGTTTCGTCTGAAGCAAAGCACGAATAAGAATTCATTGTGTTGTAACGCAATCTAATAATATTATGATATAGTTATTAACATAATAATATATTGATGAAGATTCAATCTGAAAGAAAGCCTGTATATGAATTCATTGTGCTATAAAGTGTACTAATAATATAATGACGTAGCTTTATTTCATTTACGTTATTTTTTGCTTCACAAAGCTTGAAATGAATTGGAATTTTCAACTTTATGGAACTTTATGGATCAACTTTATGGATTAAATAATAAGAATCGAGAAGGCAAAAGCAATTATGTAGCGAATGAAATTTTATAAATTTACTTAGCTTTTCCATTATCACAAATTTATGTTTACTTTATACTGCATGGTGGAAAATTTATTTATGGTGTTTTATGTGAATGCCCATTCTTGAAACGATCTTTTTCTTCCTTTCCAACATTTTTATTATAAGCTTCGTATTCTGCTATTATAAAAGTAATGTAAATTTGCGTCCTATAACCACTAGTTTGAATAAGCAATAAAATGGGAACTAGGGCTCAGCATTTTGCGTTTAAAAATACTCCATGATTTTTGTCTACAATAAATGTGTACATACAAGCACTAATTGTTACTGTATTAATTATCAAATTGTGTTTGACGGAATTGTGTTTCCAGTTTAAGATCAATGTATCTAGATATACTACAGTAACAGAAAATAATATTTCCGTAGCATTTATGGGTATAAAATAAGGTTGTTAAAGGAATAGGAATAAGCATTTATGGGTATAAAATAAGGCGTTTGTTTTTAAACTAACATTACTCAGGGCCATCTGTAACTCGAAATACCAGCTGAATGGCACCAAATTTGGTAGTGGGACTCGTGATGACATATAGAAAATCATTCTGTGAAAAAATAGTTCTAAAATTTGCCGATAGGTGAAAATGTGGCATTGTTAAAGTACAGGATTACAGAGATGACACTTCATTGCACCATAGCACTGGAAAAATATAAGGCGGGTGCTCCATCTTGCGTAACAAGCTCCACAAGTAAAGCACGCTGAAGGTAAAGTGAAACACATGTTCAGCTTATCTCACATTCGGAATGTTTTCCCCTTATCTTTGCACACTGAATTACTGACGCTACTATCGTTTACGTAACCGAGCATTTGCACTTCCAAATTTTACCTACACTTTATGCGAATTTTCAGTTATGTAGGTTAGACTAGAGGCACATTTTCCCTTTCGACAATTTTAGAAAATATTTTTTTTCCCATGCAGTCTGTTTTCCTCTGTCCCTCTACCAGAATTTGGGTGGGATTCCAACTGATAGATCGATTTACAGATGAATGAGTATTGTCAGTTGTAAAAAAAAAATCTCCTATATAGAAAACCTAAATATCGCTTGTCGAGAACCAGTATAATAGCAAAGTATCAAAGTATCGAATAAACCTTCAGCTGAGAAAAATAGGTAGATTGTGTAAAGGATCATGAAGGATGCTGATACCGGCAACAAATATCATCGATAATCCTCCACCTATGAGTACAGAGGTTGATTAAGTTTATATGAGTTTTGTATAAGTTATTCAATCTTTTTCGTGTGTCTAATCTACTGCAACTCCTTTTCCAAGCATAAATTGATAGAACTGTGTCTTAAAGTTATAATATGTTTCAATTCAACCAAAGCATAACAGTCGCACGTTCCTTCAAACCTATCTCAAAAAATGATATCGATGAACGTACTCACCAGAAGCAAAACCTATGCATAAATATAATTCATATGCAACCCACAATTAAATTCAAGGCACATCCGAAATAACCTGTAATACTAATGTATTCGGAGAGGAAAGCAAAAATTTCTGCCTGAAGAGCAAGAACTATCTTTTAAAGGAATCGGAACAATAATTAACCGAAAGTAGGAACTGGAATTGCATTCGAACACCTTTGTAAATTATTTTATCATAAACTACAGCTTGTTCTAAACTGTCTTTTCCCCGGTCATAGTAGTGGCCAAGACCACCGAGTTGGGAGCTAGACCCGGGTTCGAGCCCACCAACCGAATTTCCTGATCTGAAAGTCAAACTATGGAGCATATGCCAAGTGATGAATTTAGATGTTGAAATTTGGTAAAGTAAGATTATTATTGTATTCTTTACCGTACACTGTCAAAATTGGTTATGTATACATAAAACTAACAACATTTGTGTAAAACCATTTAAATTTGGCTTATTTCATAACAAAGCACTCGAGACATACGTGCTTAAGAGGAATTACACTTTCTGGGATGATTTTCAAATGGAAACTAGCTTGTATCCACGTTACACATACGGAAAACCACTAACAGAATTGTGTTACAAGTTCTGAATTCATTCGTTGAAAAGCAGTGACTAAGGGAAAGTAATTTTTTGTTAAAAGCCAATATGAATAACATTTAAAGAGTTATTCAGAATATCATCAAGGGCAAGTGAAAAACAGTGGTAGCTGGATCGAGGTTTGAATCCCGGCAAATGGCCTTAATTGTATAGTTTTTTTATACAACTTACTTCTCGCCTTCAAGAGTTGCATGAATACGAGTTTATGTTCTTCCGAAAGTGTTCCACGAAGACATCGCTTTCCTTAATAAAGATCCCTCGCATACTTTGCGGTCATAGACTACAAACATTAAGAAAAATATATCTTTTTAATGTACGTAATTTTTGTTACATGTTTAAAGAAAGTACTTTACTACACATCATCTCATGCAGTATCAAAAGCGTTGGAAAGTAAGCACAGGAAGGCATGGAAAAGAAAGGAGTGAATAAATATAAGGAAGGGAAGCTACCTTTCATCTTAGGTTAGGTTACTTGAATATATCAAACCACACGAGGGCCATTTGCGTAAGGGGAAAGATGCCCTCTCACGTCACACATGCAGCAAGCCCTTTCGCCTGTGCCACTAATAACTACTAATAATAAAAAGAACTACTACTAATAATAAAAGGTCATAACTAATGTTACCACTGGTGGTTTCTGCAATATGGCTGGTTATTTTAGTATAAAGTTTTAAGTTATTTGTTGATATTCCAAAAGTTTGCATGATTTTTTTAAAAATTTGCTAGTGCTTTCCGTTAGTAAGTAGTGTAACTAGCCGATTAAGACGGTCTAGTGGGAGAGCCGACTGTGATACCGAAGGGTCCAGGTTCGAATCCCGGAGAAGGCATGGATGTAAATTATCTGTTCCCTCATAAGAGGTAACGGTGGCCGCCTGTTGGATGCTTCCACAATAAAGTGGCCAATGCCGAAAAAAAGGCAAGTGCCCGCCATTCCATAAAAAAAAAGTACTTTATTCTTCCGAACATGTAATGCATTAAATCTGGTATTGTACATTATAAATATAATTTTAAAAATAGTGTACTATTGTTTACCACGAAGGGTACCAAGATAAATTAAAACCTTTTGTTCAAACTAAGTTACACTGTAAAATTTGTAATAGATTCAACTTGTAATTATGAAGACATACTTGGTTTTAAATGTAAATACTAGTGTACTCTGTATTTAGACTGCAAAAGTAATTCAGTCTAGATATCAGTCATTACGATAAATTCCGAGGAGATGGCACAAATTCCACGAGGCTTTAAATACAAAAGTATGTCGGCCAGCTGAATTCTGTATTTCAGTGCACATCTAATGAATGCAACTTACATATATATTTTCGTGCAACTAGAGTACAGCAGTAAATTCATCCACGCGAACTAAACTCACGCATTCAGCTTCGAGGAAATTCATTGGGCCTTAATTCAGAATAAGCTAGAATCTTTCGCATACTTACATAATAGCAAACAAGGTACTAAAACGTCAAGGCAGAGAGCTGACTCAAGAGTTGATTAAAGTCGCACTCAATTACAGGAAAATTAAATATCTGAATACGGCAATCTAAATGAAAGTTATTTGCCTAAATAGAAATGTCTTTCAGGAAGATTTCCGAGGGAAACCGGCTTCTGTTCCCGTTACACATGGAAAACAAACCCGTGAAGACCAATAATGCAGTCAGGCCTTTCGCTCGAGTTCGAAAATGGGTCGAACTACCGGCATTCAACCGCTTAAGGGAGGATGTTTGAAGGGAAACTTCCTCTCGGAGACTAATATTTAGAATACACATGAAAAAAATTCCCGTGGCATACACTAGGTGTCTAAGGGAAGGAACACCATCGCGGAGGATTTTAAAGAAAATCAGCTAATATTCACATTGCATATGTAGCCAGCAGACCTATCAGCAGGATTTCATCCAGGGCACATTACACGTGTTCAGTAGTAATTATCCTCTTGGCCCTAGAATAGCTAATAATTTATAGAAGTGAATATTGTGTTTGAAAGTCTAGCGGTTAAAACTATTCATGAATTTTCTGAAGTACTTACGCTGTATTTTAAGATTTTAAAAGTGGCATTCATCTCACTAAATTTAACATCTTAGCTATACGTTTGCCATAACACAATTGTATAAAAATTACATTTTTAAGAATGAAAAATTGCGCCGACTTTGTTTACATTTACAGTAGCTTTAAGAATTGGTAAGAAAGGCAGCAAGAGTAGATAAATGTTTGACATTGTCAAGAAGCCAATATCTTAAGCTCCACGTCCGACATCTCCGATCAAGTTTCGAAGAGGAAATAAGGGATAGGAAAAGAGATCGCAGAAAATTTTATTAATTTCACTCAGACAAAAACTTTCCACTTGTGAAACTCGAGAAAAATTAAGTCATTCTTGTTTCTCTTCCGATACTTCGTAAATTTTCGAACCACAAATTTAAAGTTTTAACATTTTCTTTCACTGCTTTTCAAGGAAGAAAACGAACTTTTTGGGCAACAGACTACTTTCATAAGGCTACGAAGTAATTCTGCGAAAATGCATTGTATTATGCTAAGTAAATTCGACCCACCTGCAGTGTATCAGGAAAACCAAGCACGCGAGTCACGGAATACTGAAATTTGGTGTTTTGACATGTTACGTTTTGGCGGCAAAAATCCATCGCTTAACACGTTGAGCGCGGGGCCGGTCTCTGGGGACCGGCAGTGAACTTTCTGTGTGGCCGGCGTCGGTCCCTGGGGACCGGCACTATTAAAGTTAGAAAATAAATATAGTCTCAATGAAATGTGATCAAATTTAGTTTTAATGAAATGTATTGAAACATTCTAAACAAAAATACGGCTCGCTGCCGGCTGAACGGAAAGGACAGCAAATTCGGCGCCGCGCTCAACATGTTAAGCACGATTTTGCTAAAATCTGGTTTCATACAAAGTTAAACATGTAATTGTGTTACAGCAATGCTTTTCCAATCTTAAGTTTGCAGTCGTGATTTCGTATTTTAAGAATCTGAAAAACTTTAAAAGGCGCAAGCTATAAAGGGAATCCAAAAAAAACTTAAGCATACAGCAAAAAGTAGAATTAAAAACTGAGCATCTCTTACCACCAGCTGTCAAACTACACTTGACAGTTAACAATACTGTGCTATTCACACGCTTTAAAAGGCCAGCAAAGCAAATCTCTCCAATATGAAACAGCGCAAGGGCAATCTGCCAAAGGCATGAGGCATTTGCTTTGAGAACTTTGCTTCGTTATTCATGAAGGAAGCAGAAGTCTTCACAAGCCAGCTCAGTTTTACTTCAGGAAATGGATAAGCGAATGAGATGCTAAATCAAGTATATAAGAAGTAAGCTTGAATATTAATATTCGTCAACGTTGTATCTAAGCTTCAAGTCTTCGGAAATGAGAATATTGGAAAATAAGTCCAAGAAGCTACTCTCAGGTTTACCAACTTTTAGAAAGGGTTCGTTTAAAATGCATTTGTTGGACCAGAAAAATATCAAGCTTAAAATGGAATAAAGAGATCGAATACTTTGCTATCATACTCTTGCACTTTGCGAGCCAAAGCATCTGTGTGAATACCCAACTTCATTGCGAACAATTGAGATTTTTTGCTCCAAATGAAGAGTACATAAAGGACGAAATGAAATCTACTGCAATATAATATTTGAATGCAAGCGAGTCACTGTATTTGGAAAATTAGAATTTTAAAGGTGTGAAGAAAGTTGATTTTCACTCGCAACTTTTCAGAACTTTAATGGTCCAGAAATAGTTATTTGAACATAAAAGGTATTTAATGTTTGCTAGAATTGAACGCTCTTCGAAGAACCATCTTTCGTAATTGCTAATCATGTGTTAACCAGCAGTTACTTAGAGGCATTTTGTATGAACTTTTACAACTGAAAATTAAGGTCGTAAAAACTGTGCAATCATTTTCGAAATATTCTTCATAAAGTTTAAATTGTACCGATTTCTGTAGTTTTGGGAATTAAGCTGCTAATTTTATTTGCAAATTACGTATAATCTGCCTAGTAAAATCATGCATATTTGTTATGTTCTTCAACTTCACGTAAATTTCTATGTGAAAATCAAATCACTTTCTAGAAATCTTTATCAAAAAAGCTACGCAGGCTATTAAATTCCAAATTCAGCTCATAAAGGTAATCGTTCATTAATAACCCAAACTTAGCATTTTAAACAGTGAAAATCGTAAAACCTGAAGGGACATTCTGAAAATAAGTTAAGTATCTAATCTAAACATTCAAGCATTCAAACTAAATAACAAAAAAGTGAAAACATTTTAAAATTTATTTATAAATATAGTTTAAAACTACACACAATCCGAAAAGATTTGTCAATTGATACCAAGATGCAACCTAAGCAGTTAATTTCAAATTAACGGTACAGGCCTTGTAAACAGCGAAAATGCTTTACATGAATTCGTCTCAGTAATAGTTGTATAAAAGAAAACTATCGACGCTGTGCTTCTTTTTCTCCTTTCGTATGTGAAGAATCAATCCAACGCAGATAAGTAACAGGCAAAGTAAGATAAAACAAAAAAGACCAGTAACAATTGTAAATTTCATTCGGGGAACACAGTGAGAAGCGATACCTAAATTCCCTACAACTATTTCTTTATTAAGCAGATGGTTGGATGGTGAAATCGTCTGTACTGGTAAAGTTGAGAGCTTCATAGTTAAATTATAAGAGTAAAACTGGTAGAGGTTTTCCAATGAATCTTCAGAGTTTGTATTTTGGGTTGCTGTAAACGAAGAAAAGAATGATGGAACGAAATTCGAAGCGTCTTGTGTGATTGAAGATGCTGTAATGCCATTTTTATCAGCGATAATGGTTATTTCTGAGGTAGGCAAGAAAGTTTTTCTGTCACGCCTGGAAACAAAATCTGAAGAGTAATTAGTTTTGAGATTCTGATCTAAAGGCAAAAATTCAGTCATCTCCGCTCCTTCGGGAATGATAAAACTATCTGCAACTGCATTTGTCTCGGTCTCCGTGTTAGACAAACGTTTCTTAAAATCAGTTTCATACTTTTGCCTTTTGTTATTAAGTAACTCTGAAGCTAGAGCTTGAATGGTAGACATCATGAGACGATTTCTTTGCTGGAAATACCTGTAAGAAACGTAGGGTTCAGATTCATCGACTGATCTCTTTACTTTGCTATTATGCTTCACAATGTTATTTTCTTCAGCAGAGTTGAAGCAGAGGTTTGGGCAGACGTTTTTGCATAGTAGTATACCGCAGGTTAGGTATAGTTTGTTTTTTAGAGGCACAGCGAAAGCTTTCACTACAGAGTAAGCAACAATTTCGGCCGATGAAGCATTTTTTAGAACACTGAATTGCAAAATATCGTCAGAATGGGGACAGCCATCGGACATTCTATATACAGTAGAATTTGTTGAAATGATTTCTTCATTATTTATATAACAATTTCTAACTCGTAAGTCTTGACTTTGACCTCCGTCGTTGATGTGGAGGATCAACAGTAAGTGATCACTAAAATTTTTCTGTGGTATCTCCACACCTATCACTTCTCTTGCTAACCTGATATCAAACCATGACATCAAATATCCATTACGGGAGGAATCCCAGCTGGGATTTTTCCCATCGTCTGGTAATGAAAGAAACTGTTCCTCGGCTACAGGTGACAGTTCGCACAGAAGACTCCGTTCAAGAATGTAGGATGTGTTAACATCGTCAACTATAATAGTATTGGACGCTTGGTACATCCCAGAAGCTCCTCTGATTTGTGACCCGCAGCCTGCTAACGGCAAATCTAAGAACACCGTCATCGCAGGAGATTTTTCAGAAATTTCGACACTGGAAAAGAAAGATGTATTAAGTTTTTGATAATGCCATTTTATTCATAATAAAACTAAACAGTAAAGATTGAGTGTTGCACTTTAAGCTTGTTCAGAATATTACAGTATATCAACTTTTAGAGTTCTTTAATTACAAGTTTCATGAAAATGGAAACAAAAATTGCAGAGAAATTTAGATCCCGCATAAGAGATTAAATGACAGGAACGAAAATATTCAACATTTAGTTTTAAAATTTTTTAGTACAAGATTTTTTTACAACACTCTACAAATTTTTTAGCACAAGACATTTCAGATTAAATATTATGGGGGTATGAAAAACAGACTCAGTTTCATTTTTATGCACAGTGATTAGGCAGTGAAGTGAATTTAAATATTTTCTATTATAAAAGAATTATACCTTAGCTATGAATTGGGGATTAAAAATCTAAGCATTGATACATAATTCTTAAGAACTTCATTACATGCATATTAAACGAAGTAAATTCTAACCAACTAGAAAATGCAACTTGGGATTTTTAATGTTGCTATTTGGATTAGGTTATTTTGTTCCCCTCAGGAATAAATATTTGAAAAATTGAATTTTCAATATTGGCTGCATTGCTTAAGACTACTGTGAACTATAGAATACTCCAAACTGAATTGTTTCTGGTACTGGGTTTGTTACCATTATAAATTGACATCACGTACTGAATGAGCTTAAAGTTTATCCAAGCCATAAATATACACACGTAGCTCTTGCCAAGTTAGCATTTGTTGGAATAATAAATAAAAACTCACGCCTGTATTTGAACCTTTTATTGGTTAGATACTGACGGCAATTTCTGGCGCAAAACTTAGCGAGGACATCTGCGCCAATCCAGTAGTTAAAGCGAAACAGATCACGTCGACTAATGTCGGGTATCCAGTAATCCAAGTAGGATAGAATGAAGAACAAAGGGAAAAAATCTATGAAGCAATATGTAAAATAGAAACTAAGCAAAAATAAAGAGATTCTCATTGCAAACACCACAAACTATCACAGATCAGAAAAATAAGACAAATATTGACAGAATTGTGGAAACAAACACCAATGGGAGGGTAAAACCATACAAGATCTAAGCAACTAAGGAAAATCAGATTAAAATACTGCATGCGTTTATTTACACTGTTTTAAGCCTTAATAAAATTGATAAAAACTGATTACAGGTTTGATTATTTTAAAAGATACGCGTGCTTTAAGCTAATACATGGCTGTAGCTTGGTTTGATTTACTTGCAACACATGGCTCGGTTTGATTTACTAGATCATACCAAAGCGCGCTTGAACCATCTATCCAAGTGGAGGAATACTTTCATGAAGGTATTCTTAAACACGATCAGCTTTTTTTTAATGCTTCAGAACGAAAATTTTTACAACGGTATATATTTACTTCTTATGTAAAATTATTCCCGCTTGGTTCAAGTTACGGTTGTTTGAATACAGCAAAGCACATCAGCGTTATTGGTCTAAGAAGGAATGTCTTCAGAAAGGGCTTTATTGAGAAAAATTGCTCTTAATCGACGTTAAATACGGGCAAGATCACGAAAACATCCATAAAGCCAACCCGTCTGCCTGGAATCGAACCCATGTGTGTACCAGTGTTATTAGCGTTTACTGCCTCGTATTACCGTTTCACATGTGCAAGCAGTCTATTCGCTCAACACGAGCCGAAACCCAGGACTAACTATAAATGTTCCCTTCCATCTCATTAGTTTACCAATGTTAAGTAATTCTTGATAAATACTATACCTGCAGAGTTTTTCTGACGAGTGGTCCTTTGCAAATATCACACCACTGAAAGCATCCACGAAGGTCATCTGCACATGCATGCCAGATATATCGCATACAACGTTGAAACGTGGAGTCATTTTGTGCCCACGGGCCAAACAAACAAGCAGCCACTAAAAATAAATGTCACTGCTTAGATTATAGTTATACTGCAAAAAGTCAATTACGGATTTGAAAATATAGTTATGAAGCAAGATTTAACAACAAATTTTAAATTTTATTTAGCGTAGACCAACATTCAGATCATCTAGAATTTTAAGAATTTAAAATACAATAAGTTGGATACGATATCCAATATTCGTTGTGCTGCCAGTCTTCCTTAAGGATTTACTTGTAATAGAGTGTTTCTGATCAATGATGCATATACGTATTAGCGAATACACAAGCACCTAAAGGAAAATTATGAAACTTGTATCGAGAAATTTAAGCCAAAACCGAAGAAAACGCAAGGGGGAGTTTCCTGGTTAAAATTTATATTTAATTTCAAGTTTCTTATTCAGTCTGCAGGGAATTTTATGGTCGAATAAAACTAATAAAAAAGCCCAATTTGCAATAATAAGGAAACCTTGAAAACTAGGAGACTAGTTTTTGGAACGCCTAACACAGCGTAAATACATTTAATTGCAAAGACTTAACTCGTGCGTTTTGCATTAACTGACTTACTTTTGCATAACTATTTAAAATATTCAAAGCAGCATAACTTGAGATCAAGCGCAATTCCAATTTGCTAAGATTTAACACCAATTTAATAATGGATTGGAAACTACTTTTTACCAGAGATTTGGCCAAGTTTTAAATTTTATATGTTGGAATAAAAGCTTAGTGAAAGAAGAATGTTTAAAAAAGCACTATTTAAGTACCAACAAACGTCCTATAATATATTTATCCGATATCGCTTAATTGAGTTTCTTCCGTAACGATGCCATGGACGAGCACAAAAGTAGACATTGTGTACCGCGAGCAATTAGATTAGTAATGTCACCCATACGTTCACTTAAGTATCCATTCAATATACAAAAGGACTCTTGGTTGTTTAGCGTTTAACAATACATTCATTTACTCAACTTTAAAGTCGTATTAAAAAAACAGCAGCCAAAGTTAAATCTTCACCTATTTTTAAACTTTACTTTTGGTAGTTCTCGGAGATGAGGTAATATAAATTATAAATTTGTGCAATTTACATTAATTACTTTTTACCAATTTGATATTTCAAATAAAAAATTAAATACAATCTAAGAATCTGATATATTCTCCCATCCGAAATGGCCAGACATTGTATGCATGGTGGTGTGGCTGCAGCGGACGTGGTCAGAGCGGACACATTTTTCCCCCCAAGAACAAATAAAGGGTGCAAATAAATAAGTAAATAAATATTTTTAAAAATCGTAAATATAATTTAAACAGTATTTTAAGTGGCAAATCTCTTTCAAGTAAGATAACTTTTTTTTTTTTTAAAGTTTTCTGTTTTCGCATTCGATTATCGAATTACAAGGCACTGGAATAACTCTTGGCACTGTAGTATGTTGGTATTTTAGTGACGAAATCATATTTAGAGCAAGTACACTGTTCCCTCCCCGCAAGCCCCATTCCAAACTGGTTGGTTTGGTTTAATTATGGCAGGGGGATCTGCCTAAGGGAAGGGAGGCCGTTGGGGAGAGCGTTTTAAGGGAAACTGGCTCGTATACAAGTTGCAAGCGAGAAAAAAATCACGAAAACGCCCTTGCATCCACCCCGTTGGCCTGTAATAGAACCCAAGACCAGACTAGCAGTGTTCAGAAATTTTACCGCTCGACCGCTGGTGGGCCTCCGAGCAGCTTTTCTGTTTAGAAACGAACCAAACCAAGGAAAAACGCAATATTTTAGCGATCTTAATTACTCGGTCAATCGAAAGCGAACAATTAAGTTTCTAATTTCAGTTCGTTAAGATTTAAAATTATCTTTGTATTTGACAGCAAGTTTAAACTCATTTCAAATCGAAACTTGATAATTAACATGCGCTAAAGTTTTATCCATATGTGAAAGGCATAATAGTAAAATTCTCAGCATCCTTTGGATATTAAGATTTCTAATTAAATGCTAAAAATAAACTCGACATCGAGCCCTGAACATTTAAAATGTATTTAAATTCTACTAAATTAGAAATTACCTTTCCTAGATCTTACCAAATTCTAGCATATCTAAAAGAATCAACAGTTCGGTATAGTTATTTAAATAGTGGAAAGCAGCTCTTAGAGAATTTAACGAGTTTAGCACAATAACTCTCCAAAATTAATGTTTAGTTTATTAAAAAAAAGCAAATGCAAAGAATCTGGAGTCTTACCACAGACAAGTTTTTATCATCACATTAGAGCGGCCGAGCGGTAAAGACGCTGAACACTGGTAGTTCGGTCCGAGGTTCGAATCCCGCGAACGGGCTGACTGCATGGGCGTTTTCGTGGTTTTCCCCATGTGTAACGTGTATACGAGCCAGTTTCCCTTAGAAAGTCCTCCACGAAGGCATCCCTCCCTTTAGGCAGATAGCCCTCGTGTGCTTTGGCATAACTGAATAATCCCAATCCCACATTAGAATTTATAAATAGTATTAATTTACTATGTTTGACACGAGTAAATAAATACGAATAGTTAAAAGCAATTAGTGCTCAGACTTTCGGTATCGCGATTAAATCGCTCATTTGCACACAGATATTTTACGAATATTCATATACCGCTTAAAACTGGTAAATTTACTTTAAAGATTTATTTATTTACGAAGTTTATTGAAGATCCAAATCGTCATCTGTAATTTAATGCATACAAACGTTCAGAATAAATTACATATTCAGACTCGTAATCAAAGTTTCGAAATAATTTGCACAGAAAATAGGTATTACTTACCAAGACACATACAAAAGCTTTTGGAAAGCCAACATTTATAGTTCCGTTATACCTAAAAAGGAAAAATGGTTCAAAAAGCTAGTTTGAGGTATTCGTAAAACATAAGGAATGTAAATGCACAATTACACAAATGAGAAAGTTAAGATACAGTATAAACCTACATTGTGGAATGTCCAGTTATGACTCGCGACCATAGCACGTTGAACAGAAACCTTAAACTCCTATGATAAACGTCTATTTATGATTTCAACAGCAGATCCGCAGAAAATACCTTGAAGGAGCAATCATAAACTCATAGAGGTTTACTAGCCGTGCACTGGCAAAATTAACTCTTCAGCAAATTATCATTTCGGATTGATTATTTTCTAAGTTACCTTTAAGAATTTTGTTTAGTTGCTTGTATTTTTTAATTTATCACAGAAAATTAATTTGTATATTCGATATATCCACTGATGCCAAACTGGAATATTATTATAATCTTAACCAGCAGTTGCGTAATATTTTGAAACTAGTTTTTTAGATAGAGATTTAGTCAGATTTTATTTGTTTTGATATTGTATTCCACTATTGATATGAGCAAATTACAAACCAATAAATAACTATTTATCTCGTTTCTTATATTCATAAAAATAAGGCTTGTAATACACTTTCTCAGGTGTAAAAACATTTATCATTAAACTAAAACTTTTTGCATAACACATAAGACATAACATATAAAACATAACAAATAAGACATAACACATAACACATCAGACATAAGGCATAATAAATAATACATAACACATTTTATCTGTTCGTGAGCTGTATAATTGTAGTGAAATAGGATAAATTATATGGAATAATTATGATTTTGATCAGAAATGATAATCGTATATCTTACACACATCTCAGATGTCAAATGTGTGCAACAATTTCATCTAAATCCAAGCACAAACGTCCACTGAAAGGTCGATGTCAATTGAAATGTTGTTGTTACTATAAGTCTTACTTGTATGACAAAGGTAGCACGTCAAATGCACCTGTCATTAGCAAGATCCTTGAGTACCATATAGGTGACAGCCTTACTTTAGCTCAATTCCGCCCCCCCCCATTTTGGAGAAACAGCACACTGGGGGGGGGCGACTACGAAGGTCTCTCATCTATTTTCCCCTAGCAATAATAATCCCCGAGAGGACTTTCGAGTTGTCGCATAGTTAGAGTGCCTTCATGCCGCACAGACACTATACATTTATGAACATCCATGCCTTCTCCGGGATTCAAGCCAGCCCCTCGGTACGGCAGTCAGCGTCACTAACCACTATCCCGGCTGGGTGGCAATTGAAATGTTAAAATTATTTAAGCATTATCCTTGAGCTGAATTCATTGTATACACATGGCATTATACTAATACATTTTGGACAAAAATCATCGAGTTAAAAGTAGTAAACACTGGTTGTTCATTATAGGTTCAAATTTCCAGTGATAATCACATTAATAACAGTGATTCCTCGACGACCGTATTTTATACCATGGCCCTTGCCGGCTTCTTCGTAACCAAATAACGGATGTAGCTTTACTTCTTGTGCGTTATTTTGCCTTCACTAAAATTTGACATCCATTGGTAAATTAATATTTATTATGCATTATCCTTCACGGAATCCAAATTAAATCATAATTATACAGAGTACAGAATTGTGATGAACTTATGTATTCCACTAATTACACATCACGAATTGACTATAATTTCATACTTTATTGGCCCCTATTTAAGATAATTCCCCTACTTAAGATATAGAGAAATATATATTTTCTAACGATTGTGATAGAGAAAAAGTGTTTTATCCATAGACTTTAAGCACAATTAAAAAAAAATATATTTAATGTAATCTGTTTTCTGAGGCATATGAAACATAACCCACGTAACACATCATTTTAAAAATATGTAAGTTAAATGACACTTTATGAAAGGCTAACATAACATAACTTTTTTGTTCAGAATCGCACTTAAGTTCTTTTCGAGGCTGCAAAATTTATCAGCAAAAATTTCAAAAATTAAACCACACAGGAAACAAGCCAGCTCCTTCTAAAAAAAAAAAAAAAAAAAAAAAAGACTCCTGATTTTTATCACCTATACTCTTACAGAAAAACCCGTCAACTCGAAAATAATTTACGGTGAAGTTTTAAAGAAAAATCTAGCTCCTGAAGAATACATAATAGAAATCATGCAAATCCTTCAAAATTCCTGGGTTTTCCAATTAATTATTAATATCTTCAACCTCGCCCATCGGATTAAAAAAAAGCCAAATCCACTATAGAAAGTTGCTCATCGTTTTCAAGACCGTAGAAGTTATTTTAAATTTCGCTCAAGATGCTTATTAATTGCTTCATCTAATAGCCACAGTAGCTGAGCGCGTAGAATCAAGTCACAGAGATCCTCAGATCGTAGGTTCGGGCTTTGACCCAACTCACATGAGCTAATTTGGGTTAGACACCAAATATTGGTTCTTCTCTCTTTTATACTTCTTTTTAGAAAACGATAACTATGTAATGGTAAAAACCTTTCTTAGGCAGTAGACCATTCAAAAAAGGGATGATAAGATCTAAGATTCTACGAAAGTTATTTTCGGTTGTTGACATGTAACGGTTTGTTTTATTTGATTTAGGCAAAGAACACGAGGACTATCTGCCCAAAGAGAGAGATACCTTCGTAGAAAACTTTCTAACGGAAACTGGTTAGTATCCAAGTCACATATGGAAAAAACCTCAAAAACACCCATGCAGCCAGCTTTTTTTACCTGGCTGGTGGGCCTTGCCATGTAGCGGAAAAGGTATTCAATTTTAAATCCAGAATTCGTATTTTAATTTTTATTCATGCTCATTTTCTCAATATTATAAAATTATTTTGAAAGTATGAACGACCTGTCAACAAAAGGTAATTCTTACAATAAAGATTAAAAATTGTGTTTAACAAAGACAAAAGTTTTGTTAACTATAAAAATATTTAGACATGTCAATGTCACATTCGCTCGTGCAACCGAAAGTGCCGACGGAGAATTTTTGTCGGTATCATATGAGCTTGTCGGTTGTCTGCAAACAAACAATTTCAATGTGAACAAAATTAAAAACAAAAACTGAAATTCAAAATTTTTATAATAGAGATATACAATTTGCCTTTTATTTCTGGATAACGCTCATGAGGAACGTAGATTCTATTATCATTTTCTTCGAATAAACATCAATATTGATCCTGACGTGATACTTTCTTCCCTTTTTATTCATAACACGTTATAACGTTGCGCGCCTCTAACTAGCACGCAACCAAGAGGTGACTGTGAAAGCTTGTATAAACCACAGAGTCTTATAAAGGGTTTAAGTCCCTTTTTATTCAACGTAATAAATTACAATGGCGTCCTCTTGACGCTTACAGACTGTGCCCACTAGGCAGTCAAATAAAAATAAGAACCTGAAAAGAAAGTAAAGACAATATTCTAACTACGAGGCTCTCTAAAATAACTAACTCACCGCGTTTTACAAATACCGCAGCTAATTCAGCAGACTTGAAGCTCACTGGAACAATTGCAACTACTTCCCGCCAAGCACATAGGCCGCAACGCGGGGTTCTTCAATTCTCGCTAACTACCTCCGCGCTCGCTAAGTAAGAATAACTCTCTCACCGAACTCGTTTCCTTCTATTTAAATCATACTACTTCCGCTGATAATTTGAATGCTTGCGCGTTCTACTCAAATTTACATATTCTGGCATTGGCAGTTCCAGGGGAAAGTAAGGCTTGACAGGAAAGATAGTTTAAACTTAAAATAAATGTTAGTTAAAATAAATATAAACCCTACATTTGCCGCTGCCAGAATTTGGAAAACTTGGAAGCAGGTCCTACAAACGACCTGTTGTAAGTTTATCTAATTCTGAACTAACTGGCGAAAGCCTCGTTTACACAAAAAAAATCTTATGTAACAATTATATATAAAATTCTGTTAGTCGTTACAAAGCTTTCTTCTTACAGCAACTTTTCCTGGACTTCATCAATCAATCTTGGTCTTTCCTTCCAGCATCTGGAAGGAATAAGTATCAGTATCTTTCTACATACATTATAATTTACACTTTCTTGACACAATAAATTTTTGTTTTTAACGATTCGTTTTTCTTAGTTATTGCTTACTTCACATTCATTCAATTTTTCAAGCATTAATTTAACTTTACCCTGGCTCTCCACCATGTGTGGTGTCAAACGGGAATATTCGTGTTTTAGTCTTACAACACTTCCCCTAACCACCATGATTTGTTAGAATTCAACAACCAAATAGACACACCTTACTCGACATTCTACAACTCAATGAGCTACTTTAATATTCTTAAAAATTCAAATGTAGGTGGAGAACCCTACAAAACACATTCATTCTAACTTCCCCCTCATTCATCTTTAAACATGCAGGCTTTCGCTCTAAAGCATGACTTTATCTACAGTTTAATACTTAAATTTTGACTTCATTGCTTTTAAGCATTCACTTTTAGCATCTACAATTTTATGCTTCTAGACTAAATTCTACTTTTACATAACATGCAAGTATTTTACATACATTTACAAAAGTTTTAATACATATGCTTTTTACAATTTACCATAAAATGAATAAGAGAAAATAAATTTTTACTTTACTCATTCTTCGCCAAGCTGGCGGCACTGAAACTAAAATTCTTATTAGTACAAGAATACGAAGTTATTTTTATCTCCGGCCAAATTTTGGCTTTAACATAACAGAATTAGTCTTTCGACCAACAGAAAATGCTTGTTTTTAGCTTTTACACTTAAAGAAAATAATACTTTTGCCTTAGCTAAATAAAGTAAAACAAAACTAAGTCTCAACCGAGACATATTGACTTTCGTCAAAACATAGAACTTCGTACTTATGCATAACATTTCGGAACAAAAGAGAAAAAAAAATTTATAGAAGGTTTTAACTTATCTTTGAGTTTTCGATGCTTGAAACTCCGTCATCCGTTTTTGACAAAATTGATCCCAAGTTAGAGGTGTCATGGATGTCAATCTTCTCCTTATTGATCTCCGAGTGTCGTCCCCGTTGCTCTTTCTTTTGCGTCCTCTACATGCTGGCCTCTTGACGGAGTAATCGTCTGGTTGTTGGCCTTTGCGTTTCTGCCTGGGACGGCTGGTCTTGACGTCCTCCGGTCTGGAGTCCTTGAATTTCTTCTGTTCCTCGTATTTTTGTGCCTCCTGTTGGCGTTTCAGTTTCCGGAACGGCGGCC